GACTGTCCTCATCGTCATAGTGATATCCGTAGTGTTATCACCGTCGCCAACACCATGTTCGTTGCCGTATTCGACCTTGTGCCACGCGAATACAATGGCCAACATTCGTCATGCAGGGCTTCTCAGACTTAGGATTTGGAGTTTTAGACCACGAGTGCCAGAACGGCACTACTCCCTCCCCAAACGCGAAGCACGACCGTTGCTCAGCCTCTGGGCGCGGTACTCTAAAGCTCGGTCCTGGCAGCAATGATCTAAGGAGCAGCCGCCACATAAGTGCAATAACGACCATATCCCACAGCCAGGATCCACAGATGGAATCCAGGAACAAGCAACCAAGCACACTGGTGGCAGGCCCACCACCTGGCCATCAGCGGGCAGCAGGCCTGTCTTTCGACTGGTAATTTCTGAAGCGTTGTGGTTCACATTAAAGGACCTGCAGCACCTTATTTTTGCAAGGTGAATGTTCTAGTAGGATTTCGCTTTTTCTCGCAGGGGCTTGGACGACAACCATACAAGGCACACCGCGACTGGCAAATCGCTTAGCATAGTCGGTCTCCCGAGCTGTTCTGTTATGAAGGACCCGCCGGGAGAGGGCTGCCCTTTCGCCTGCGCTTTGCTCTCAGCCACGGCATATCGATATGTTTGCGTTGTGCAGATGGTGGAGTTTCGGGCATACTGTTCCGACCACGACGCTCAGATTCAATTGAGCAGTTTGACTTTCTGGGACTGGAGCGAGAAATCGCGCCGCCCTAGGTTACACTCCCCGTTTCTCAAGTCACGGGTACATGCGTGTTCGTTTCGACACATGTGAAGGGCAGCATGTAGTCTCCATAATTACGAAGCAATTCGAAAGTTTGCAGATCCAAACTTATTTGGGCAATCCGGTCGCAACTGGTTTCCTCCAAGGTCCAAGGACTCAGACGGAACTAGTATCTGAGCACTTGCATCGCCATGCAGGAGAACTGGACTAGAACGAAAGAGCTGCTTTGGAGGTGTTTGATTGTGTTGATTACGGTCCTGGCTAAACTGCCAATTGGACAACGAAGACCTTACCTAGACGAGTCGAGCCCCTCTCCCACCCGACCAAACAGAAGCTCACCCCCCTCCATGACGTTAGACATCCTGCAAAGCCCTAAGCCCTATGAAAAGCTAAACACTAAAACCCCTTAAACCCTAAACTTTGATAGGACATGTTCCCTAAACTCCATGGGGCTTTTCGGCCCAGGTCTGGTCTCCCAGCTTTCCGTCGAGGCCTTTGGCAGAGTGGGGGAGCCCAGGCTGGTCTTTGGCTAGGCCTTGCGGGTTTAGGTTTAGGCTTTATAGGGTCTTAGTCTCCGGGCGTTGAGCTGTGCAGTTTCGGGATTTTGGGCTGGTGGGTTTTAGGTCTGTTAAGGTCTCACGGTTGAGGAGCTTAAGATTCATTGAACACTGGGGGTTACGAACAGCACATTGACATAACAGCACATTCAACATGTCTAGTCGTTTTGAGGTTGACGCTTCCCTAAGCAGTGTCGGGCGTCGCACCACTTACAAGGGTACACTGCGAGAATTGCCTTGCCAGTACCCCAAGCCGCACAAAGCGTTTGGATGTGCAGGTTGAAGACTAGCTTTAACTTGGAGTGTACTGCCCGTTTCGCCTGAAATCAGGCAGTTATTCGCTGGACTTGAATTGTTGTAATAAGTTGGCAGGTCGTTTTGTTTCGTTTACTTGCAGGTCAGCACTATTTGATGGCAGCATGCAGCCTACGGAAACGCATTGCAACCGCCTCTGGTTGTGAGCAGTGGGCCACGCGCACACTTCGGCAAGGTATGGGAAATCAGTTGCGACTTGGGAACGAAAGCGAGACAAGCTGGTCACAGAATGAATTAAATCGAGACTCTACGCCCGCTTCTTGTTAATTACTCTAGTTTCTAGATAATGGCAAGTTTGCGTAATCTCTGTAATGTCCTTTTAAGGTCTATGATCTGTGTGTGTCAGTCTGACCCAGATGACTGGCTGTTCCAGCGCACGAAGGTGGCCCACGGCCCATCTCGTAGTGAATTGCAGGAATCACAGAGAAGAAGACAAACGCACGACAAAGGCACCCGAGGCTAGGCAGAAATCAGGGACACCGTAGATCGAGAGCAGATCGATGTCACAGGAAAATGCTCGAGCTTTGCAGCTGAATTTGCTTTCTCATTTCAGTCACTCACACATCTCGTTGGCGTTCCCAAGCTTCTGCTTATTCTGCTATCGCACAGGCGATCACGGTTTCCTCCAACCGTCGTTCGCTTCATCCAAAAATGTCCTCCAAGTTCTCTCAATCTCGGACAGCCTGAGAATCAGTCTTCGGCTAGGACAATGCGCGAGTGAGAGCTGGCTGTCCCGGCCCCCGAACTCCTAAATAAGTGAAACCGCAACGGCCGCGGCAAGCCGACAGCCCTCCCCCAGGCTACGATGCTACCAGGAACGAAAAGGCACACGGGAACTCAAGCATTTTGCAGGAGTTATTGGGATATGGTAACTTCGTTTGTGGCTTAGGTTTGTATGTGCATGTGTTATGTGTACATATATACATGCACATTAGCAAGTTCGAGCAAGATGGGGCCTGAAGACCCACTTAGTCCACTGCAGTAGTTTTCCTGTGTTGCCTGCGCATCTAGGCTTCAGACCCTCGACCTCTTCCCGAAGGCCTCGAAAGCCCTACCCTGATTCCATCCAAGACTCATGTAAGTTCCAATCTCTGACACCACGCGAACCTGGCACCCCTAAGCCCCTAAACCCCGAACCGATCCAGGTGGCAATCCTCCTCCCCGATTGCAGTATGGTTCAGACAGCAGCTACATCGACCTGCCCCCGGAGCGGCTGCCTCTGAAACGCTTGGTGGGGGGATGTGAGGTATATACTACATATCATTATATCTTACATATTACTATGTTACATTACACACTATAGTACAGCACATTACATCACTAGTCGTGACAACAGGTCGTTGTGTTACACGTGTTGCGTAGTATTCCAATTCAGGCCAACCAAAGCCTCAGCCAAGGGGGGGTGCAGAGCCCACCACAA